AAAGCAGTCCGGTCTCTAACTAATACAAACGAAGGCGGTATACTACGCATGCAAAAGAAAGAAGTTAGCTCGACGGCGAGCATGCGACGCGCGCGAGCGCGGCGCGGGTGAGACGGCGCAGCCGCCTGAAACCTAGATAGGTAGTCTCGCAACTACAGATTGTCCGACGTTGCGGTGTTGTTAACGCTACCGCACGAATGGCAGATAGGAGTATTGGGATGGGAAGAGGGGTCACCCGAAAGCGAAGAGAGCCTGCCAGACCCTCCCCGGTTCAACGGTAAAATTAACGTTGTAATAGCTAAGCAGGAGCCGAAGCCCCCACTGCCGTCCACCGAACTGGGTCCTCCGTCAGCGGCGCATGACACCGGCTCAGAGAGTCGACGCCACCGGCCCTGGAACGACCAGGGCCCTAGGCACTTGCGGAACTTCGCCGCCGCCAGACGGAAACACATCACCGAAGTTTAGGCCCCTCCTTGCGGAGAGGCCTATTGGCGGGCTACTTCGGGATTTCGGTAGGGAGTTATTACCCCACCTACTCAACCATCGGACGAATCAGAACTCGGGGTCCATCAACGGCCCCACTTTGGGGACCTGCCTAGTAGGTGCTGCGAATACTAGTCACCTCCGGCTTACACGGCAGGGGAGGTCGGCTGCACCGGCCATTCTTCCCGCCTTCCTATTAGGTCTGTTCATTTTCGAGTTCGATATATTCCGTCCCCAATCCATCAGTCGGCATGCCGACGTAAGCCCACCAACACCCCGGCTACAACTTAAGCCCACAGGAGTCTATTATGCCCGTGTGAACCGACAGTGGATTTGATCTCTCGGGCCAAGGTAAGGGGACTGCCCCGACCATGCCACGGCCCATCCGGTGAATCCTAGGCGTGTTACTCCCAGGCCGAACTTCCCGTCCCCCGGCAGGTGGTTCGCTTAAGCCCAGATGGGCGCGGATCCCCAATCCTGTCCGGAGTCACTGTCTTGCCGTGAAACTCTACCCAGCCGTGAAGCCGGGAGTACGTTTCAGACGACTAACGACGGCACCCACATCTACTTGCCGTGTTGGGTATCCTGTCACTGCCCCGGGTTGTTGAAACCCAGGCTGGATCATTGATCCGGGAATCACCCCGGAACTCCCCATGGTCGGATGGTTTTACCAATATGGGAAACCAAGCTGGAAATAACTCCGTGCTGAGATCTGTCTGTCGGATCGATTCTCGGATGCACAACACGGTTGGTTGCTGGCAAGGCAGAGAGTGGGGACAGATGGGGATCCGCGCCGGTTGGCTTCAGTGAACCATCTGCCCTGCAACGGGAAACCGAGTAGCTGGGGCTCTATAATAACTCCCCGGTGAGACGCGAGCCGTAGTGGGCCAAGGCAGTCCCTTGTGACCCAGCTTGAGAGCACTAAATCCTCTGTCGGTTCACTCGGCTGATTAGGCCGGGTATTGAATCTAAGTTGATTCCAAGTGGCAGCGCAAGCTGCTGTCTGCCCCGCAAGGGCGCAAGGCATAGGGTCTCTCTTCGGAGGGGCCCTACATTTGAAATTGTTGAATTAAAAAAAAAAAAAAAAAAAAATTAGTATTTTGCCCAATACAATTAGTTACTCACTCTGGACTTCAGCTTACTATAGCTCCTGTGTCCCTCGCTTCGAGTTGCTCATATTAGGTGCACAGCTGCGTCACATGTTCCCGCGCTTGCCACCTTTAACAAAAGGTGTGCCAATTGGCATAAGAGCATTTTTGGCGAGTGGGCCAGAGCCAGCAATGCCAGGGAAGTGATGCTCATCAAACACAGCACGTTCAGAGATAACAAACTTCTTTGTGGCAGGGTTGTAGAACTGCCAACCCTTGTAACCAGCAGGGTAACCAACAAAGATGCACTTCTCCATGTGTGGCTGAAGCGACTTCCGTTTGTCCCTTTGAATGTAGACATATGCAGTGCAGCCTCAAACGCGCAAATGGCTCACATCTGGTTTCTTCTTGTACCATTCTGCATATGGAGTAGTATTAGGCAGAGGCGCAGTAGGAAGTTGATTCCAGACATGTATATATGCAGCCAAAGCGTGCGCCCAGAATGATGCAGGCAGGTGCGCTTCATTGAGCATGGCAGTAACGTGATCTGCAATAGTGCAGTTTGCTCGCTCTGCAACTCCATTCTGTTGGGGGCGATTATGCGTAGTATGGCGTCGCACAATGCCACATTGATCCGTAAAGTGAATAAAAGCATTAGACATAAATTCACCACCCTTGTCATCCTGCATAGACTTGATCTTGCAATTCAATTGGTTCTCAGCATGCGCTTTGAACGTCTTGAATGCCTCAAATGTGTCACTCTTCCGTTTTAACAGCATTACAGCGCGAAGCTTGGTGCAGTCATCAATGAAGGTCACCCAGTAACCGTAACCTTCTGGAGTAGGAACAGGAAGAGGACCATGGAGATCAGTGTGGATCAATTCTAGCGGAGTAGTAGAATGACTATGCGAGGTTGGGAATGGATTAGATGTCATTTTGCCTGCGAGGCATGGTTCACAAATTGGATCTGATTGTAACTCGGAGTCAAGCACAAGTCCAGTCACCAACTTGCCCTTGAGCAGTTTCTGAATCGCGTCGTAGCTATGGTGGCCAAGATGACGATGCCAGAGGTTTAAATCAAATGGCAGAGTGGCAGAGACATTGGCAAACTCCGGAATTGGCTCAGTAACACCATCAAGTACACCTGTGTTCTCTGAAGTCACTGTGGCCGTAAATAGTGTCTTTTGAGCGCGTTTAAAGTACATAGTAGTTTCATCAACTTCCAGTTTGATATGTTTGCGCTTTGTGAGATAAAGACAGGCCAATAGATTATTTCGGAGTTGGGGTACATGCAAGACTCTTGTTAACTCTACAGAACGAGATTCCTTTCCATTGATAATGGGACTGAACAACACAGTACCAATACCTGCAGAGTAGATGATTGTGTGATCTGCTAGCTTGACTGGGACGCAATATGGCGTGTAATTGCGCACCCAGTGACGATGAGGGGTCATATGAGAAGTGGCCCCTGTGTCTGCAAGCCAATGGAAGTCAGCATCACTCTGCAATGTGGATGGATCATAGGTAGAGAGAGCACTCACATTTCCAGCATACTCTGTAACATTCTCCTCGGACTTTGGAGTGGTCTCCTGCGCTTTGTTCGCTTTTCTGCCCTTCTTGCGATATTCTCGCATGCTCTCCTGCGCGTTTTGCTGCGCTTTGATAAAGCAGTTGCACTTGTCCTGTGTGTGATTGGACATACCGCAAAACGTGCATTTGAGCGTGGGAGGTGTAGATGAAGTATTAAGCGCAGAACCAATGGTGGGAGCGTCCGAAGCGCGATGGCGACGCTGCGCTTCCTCTGTGACAAATGCCTGCTGAATTGCGGACTTGTCTTTTTTTTTTTTTTTTTTTAAAAAAAAAATCAGCAATTTATATTCCGAAACTCGAACGCAGCTCGGACTCTAACTGATACAAACGAGTACGCTACAATACCCAATGCAAAAGAAAGAAATTGGTCGCTCACAAGCGTGCGGCGCGCGCGAGCGCAACACTTTTTTTTTTTTTTTTTTTTTTTTTTTTTTTTTAAATCAACAATTTTTATTCCGAAGCTCGATCGCAGCTCGGACTCTAACTAATACAAACGAGTACGCTACAATACCCAATGCAAAAGAAAGAAATTGGTCGCTCGCAGGGGAGCGTGCGGCGCGTGCGAGCGCGACGCGGGCGAGACTGCACTGCAGCCTGAAACCCAAATAGCGGACCTCGCAGCCCAGGAAATACAAACGCGCGGCGTTGTTAACGCTACCGAACGTAAGGTAAATATGGATTAAAAGGGTGGACAGGGGGGTCACCCAGATGAAGTCGGAGCTTGCCCGGCTCTCCCCACTTCGTTGGCAAACTCGACGTTGTCGTTACACCATGGCGGGTCCTCCAAATGATGCGTGCCATAGACTCAGAGAGTCACAAGCGAAGCCATGCAACGAACACGGCTGCGGCCCTCGCGGGATTTATCGCACCATAATGAAAACACCTGCGGGCACTAGGTCTTGGGCCAAGGCCCCAACGACACCTAGGATCACCCCCCATCCAGAGTCCCTCATCCGACTCCGGCCTGGGGCCGATTGAACGCAAACGCACTAGGGTTGTCGCTCAAAAATTTCTCAAGACCCCATACTAGGTACGGGGCCCTGTGAGGTAGCATCGGGAGCTTCGGGCACCCAAAGAGATGGTCGCACGTCTGAGGATAAACCCCACACGTACAACCGAGAGCAAGTGGATCATCGATTTTGAACCGCTCGTAGTATGAGCCGATCGGAGCATGATTCGTGATAGCACGGCACATGCGGGCGAACAACTGAGAGTTGCGGCCGCCCACTTCAAGCCACGGCCCGCCGCGAATGGGGGTCGGACGGAGAGGATTACCCTTTAGATCCTCTAACTCCAAGAAATTGGAGCCAAGCAAATTGGGAACCTCGTCGACCTCTGTAGACCAAGCATCCCGCGCTACAGTGTCAGCTCTGTTCTTGAGCCAAGCGATAGATAAAGGGGTATTCGGTGTAACAGGTACACCCGGAAACCCCAGGACGAGGTCGTGAGCCTCTTGATGGATGTCCCACTCCATATCAGAGGGAGACTCTGCAAAAACGACTTTCCGGTTGCCACCACCCTGGAACCATCGTTCAAGTGTCCGACAAACGATCAGATAATTGCGGACTTGTCAAGCTTGTCCATAAGCAATAGAGATGAAGCGAAGGTGCTGTACTCGTCCGGAAGCACGCGGATCATTGCCATGGATGCGAGCTCATCATCGAGCTTGGCAAGGTCAAATCCGGTAGGGCGGAGGTCCTGAATGTGGTGAATGGAGGTATCAACTCTATTCATCAAAGTCTGAAGAGTTTCATCCTCTTGCTTCCGGATGGAGAATAGGTCGTCATAGGCATTAAAGCGAGCGCCAGGATGCTTCTGCTAGGGGGTGTGCTGCTAGGGGGTGTGGTGGCTTAGGGGTTACTGCGTTGCCCTTAAGGGTGGCTGTGCACCATCCGAGAGGTTGCGGGTTCGATTCCTGCACACAGCAAGTACCATAAGCTTGTGACCGTGGGAGGCTGTCTTTGTGGTGGCTGACGTAAGTCGACCCTGGTCCATGCGCAAAGCCGTTCTGCTGACATAAGTCGACCCTGACCTCCGGGTAAAGCTGCCGCAGTTACGTAATTCGACCCTGGCTATCGGGCAAAGCCGTTGTCGGTCATCTCGGGGTTCTCGCCTTCTCGGCGAGCCACTGCAGTTCTTCAGACTTGCAGGCCTTCAGGCCGCTGCAGGGGTGGGTCCCGATGATCAGTCTAAAGCTGTGACGCGTGAGAGATCTGAAGCCCAAGTGATTCCTGGGTCGGGTGCCGGGGCGCCTGACATAGCCTGGGATAGCAACTCGAGAGGGTCCGAAAGGGCAGAAGCGCCTCCTCTACCGCACATGTGTGGTCCCCATATTCACGTATGGGTATCGCATGTGGTTCTTCAAGGGTGCTCGCAATAAGGGCCTCATCAAACAGCTTATGCAAGTGCAGCGTAAAGCTGCTCTCTGGATTACGGGTGCATTCTGTACTTCGCCGTCGGGAGGGGTTGAGGCCCTTGCGGGCCTCTTTTTTTTTTTTTTTTTTTTTTTTTTTTTTTTAAATCAACAATTTTATACCGGTGCACGAACGCAGTCCGGTCTCTAACTAATACAAACGGAGGCGGTAAACTACGCGTGCAAAAGAAAGAAGTTGGCTCGACGGCGAGCATGCGACGCGCGCGAGCGCGGTGCGGGTAAGACGGCGCAGCCGCCTGAAACCCAGATAGGTAGTCTCGCAACTACAGATTGTCCGACGTTGCGGCGTTGTTAACGCTACCGCACGACTGGCAGATAGGAATATTGGGATGGACGGGGGGGTCCTCCAGATGTGAGAAGAGCCTGCCAGGCCCTCCCCGATTCACTGGTAAAATGAACGTGGTCATAGCTAAGCAGGGGCCGAAGCCCCCACCGCCGTCAACCAGGTCGGGTCCTCTGCAAGTGATGCACGAAGCCAACTCAGGGAGTCGACCCCGCCAGGACTGGAACGACCAGCCCTCTCGCCTCTCGCGAAGTCCGCCATCACTATGACTCAATGCAGAAACACCTGTGGGCAACAGGCCGCTTTGACCGCGGCGCTGCTTTGACCGCGGCGCCGCTCGCACCCAGAATCGCCCCCCGCCCAGAATCCCTCATCTGACTCCAGCAGGGTGCCGGGAGAAGGAGAACGCCGTAGGGTGCTCCAACAGATAAGTCGCCAGCTCCGAAACAAGTTTCGGCTTCCGGCGAGTCCAAGGCTGTTTCTTGCACTTGAATATATGATCGCGAGTCTGAGGATAAACCCCACACTCACAACCGAGGGCCCTAGGGTCATCAATTTTGAACCGCTCGTAGTACGAGCCGATCGGCGCATGATTCGTAATTAAACGGCACATGCGGGCAAAGAGCGAAACGCTCTGACTGCCGGCTTCAAGCCAAGGTCCCCCGCGAGTGGGACTAGGCTGGACAGGGTCCCCGTTCAACCCTTGCAGCTCCATAAAGTTGGAGCCAAGCAGAAATGGCTGATCGGAAACTCTTTGTTTCCAATCTGCGCGTGCCGATTTGTCCACAAAATCGCCGACATACTGGAGAGAGAGTTTGGTGGTAGGGACGACGGCGACGCCGCGCATACCAGCAACGAGATCGTGTGCTTCGTTTTGAATGCCCCACTCCATGTCGGAGGGAGACTCGATAAAAGTAACCTTGTGGTCAGGCGAGCGCCTGAACCACGGTTCAAGTAAACGACACACCATCAGTGACTGAGACTGAAAGGAGTGTGGAGAGGGATCCACTGAGAGGCGCGTGGCATGCATCGCATCAGTGAAAATAGTAACGCGTTTGACATCCCCAAAGCCCACGGCATTGGAGATGGTAACGCGAATAGCAAAGAGCTCTGCATCCGTAGACGAGGCCCTCCTAGCAGCATGACACCCAGAATACACCTGTGTGCCCTGCCGTTTGATAACAACACCAGTGGCAGCTTGCCACCCCGGAGGGCAGGAGCCGTCAACACCAGCATAAGCAGCGTCTGAATCGTCCTCGAGAGACTCGAGGGACGCATCCAATATGAGCTTCCAAGCCGCTTCAGGATCTGGGGACCTGCTAAAGCGTGGCTTGGAAAGCCATTTGAACCGATCGACATACCGATCGAGGAGTCGATAACCCGGACGAGCCTCAGGAGCAAAAGGCTCCGTAGACTCAACAGGGACACTGGAATAATTTACATTATCCATAAGAGCACCCGTCACCTTGCGGCGATGGGCGGCAGGCATGCGTTCAACCGACATAGGATGGGGGGTTGCGCGCTTAAGTGATGACCCAGCCATGAATGACCGAATCGGATGGGTGTCCGAGAGAGTGGCGACCCGCACCGTAGAGCGGTCGCGCAGTCTTTCGAGAAGTATAGGGATGGGTAGGAGGCCCGCAAGGGCCTCCACCCCTCCCGAAGGCGAAGTACGGAATGCACCCATAATCCAAAGAGCAGCCTTACGCTGGACCTGCGTAAGCTGTTTGATGAGGCCCTTATTGCGGGCACCCTTGAAAAACCACATGCGATACCCATACGTGAATATGGGGACCACGCAGGTGCGATACAGGAGTCGCTTCTGCATAGGCAGTAGCCCCCGAGTAGAGGAACCAAGCATCTTCATCGAGACAACCGATGTAAAACCCTTGGTGGAATAATAGCGCACATGCTCATTAAAGGTGAGCTTGCGATCGAAGTAAAAGCCCAGGTACCGCCAAAACGGCTTGGGCTTGAGGTAATTCGCACGATCTCCGGTGTAGGGTGCATACCCGAGATTGATACTAGGATTATAACTAGAGTGAGATCTATCAAAATGAAAGATCTCAGACTTGTCGTGCTCGAGCGCCAAAGCAAATGCCTTGAATAGCTCGAAGATAACAGCGTATGCCTTCTTAAGCATCGCAATATTATGATCCAGCCACTCATCCTGCACGATGAGTGTGCCGTCATCAACATACGAGAGGAGGTCAACCCTCAACCCAAGGTCGAGGCACCGCTTCTCGAACAGGCGCATGATAGGCGCCAGGTAGACAGCCGACAAGACAGGGGACAAGGCCGATCCCTGGCCCACCCCCACGTCTGCCTGTAGCGGGTCTGATAAAAAGGAGTTCCACGCATATCGCGTCTTCCTCTCTACCAGATAAGATGCGAAGAACTTGACCACCAATGGAGGAAAGCCAAGTTTCCGAAGAATAATCACAAGCGCGTCGTGATTAAGTGAAGGGAAGAACTGAGCGAGGTCAAAGGTGACCACGCTAGTCTTTAATTGCGGGCCTCCTACCCATCCCTATACTTCTCGAAAGATTGCGCGACCGCTCCACGGTGCGGGTCGCTACTCTTTCGGACACTCACCCGATCTGATCATTCATGACCGGATCATCACTTAAGCGCGCGACCCCTCATCTCATGTCGGTTGAACGCATGCCTGCCGCCCACCACCGTAAGGTGATGGGTGCTCTTATGGATAATGTGAATTATTCCAGTGTCCCTGTTGAGTCTACGGAGCCTTTTGCTCCTGAGGCTCGTCCGGGTTATCGGATCCTCGATCGGTATGCCGATCGGTTCAAGTGGCTTGCCAAGCCACGCTTTAGCAGGTCCGAAGATCCTGAAGCGGCTTGGAAGTTAATCCTAGATGCGTCTCTCGAGTCTCTCGAGGACGATCCAGACGCTGCATACGCTGGTGTTGACGGCTCCTGCCCTCCGAGGTGGCAAGCCGCCACTGGTGTTGTTATCAAACGGCAGGGCGCACAGGTTTATTCTGGGTGTCATGCTGCCGGGAGGGCCTCGTCTACAGATGCAGAGCTCTTTGCTATTCGCGTTGCCATCTCCAATGCCGTTGGCTTTGGGGATGTCAAACACGTCACTATTTTCACTGATGCGATGCATGCCGCGCGCCTCTCAGTGGATCCCTCTCCGCACTCCTTCCAGTCTCAGTCACTGATGGTGTGTCGTACACTTGAGCCGTGGTTCAGGTGCTCGCCTGACCATAAGGTTACTTTCATTGAGTCTCCCTCTGATATGGAGTGGGACATTCAAAACGAAGCGCACAATCTCATTGCTGGTATGCACGGCGCTGCCGTCGTTCCTACCACCAAACTTTCTCTCCAGTATGTCCGCGATTTCGTGGACAGATCGGCTCGCGCAGATTGGAAACAAAGAGTTTCCGATCAGCCATTCCTGCTTGGCTCCAACTTTATGGAGCTGCAAGGGTTGAACGGAGACCCTGTCCAGCCTAGTCCCACTCGCGGTGAAGAGACCACGAGTGGCTAGCTGTGAACGGACTACTATTCTCCTTACCTGAGCTATTTTTAGCACTTAGTAAAGCTTATACCGTAGTCTAAATGTTACAAGTCTGGACATTACAATGACAAGGCTACTAAGGACTAGAGGAAACTATGCAAGATAACAAGGAACGCGCGGTCAATTAAAGACATTATCATTAGTAACTATTGAGATGATAGTCAATACATCTAATGAAGTGTACGGAAATAGGCGCCTTTCAGTAATATCTTAACCATCTGGCCTATACAGAACGAGGCGCGGATCTCTAGATTAAAGAACGGACATCTAGGCACACTACAGGATAGGTCGCGTGACATTGCCGAAGGCATCAAGGACAGTGGAGCAGTCGGGGTAAAGCAGACACCCATAGACGCCCCTGTAGCAACGCCGATCAAAGCTCGGATCAAAGGGATACCAAATTGGGAACACATACCATATCGGGTAATAACTGGGTACAGGAAGATTTCCGGGGTGCATAACTCGACACAGCGAGATCCCAGATGCACGCCGAGGGTACCAAGATACCGGGTACAGAGGACGAAGGGTTACAACCCTAATCACGAGCATTATCTCAGACAGAACGTGCGTGGATTGCCCGAGCGTCTCTGACGAGATGTAGGCGCGTCTATGCTCCGGTCAGTCTATAGCCAATGACAGGACAAGATACCAATGCAAACGAAAGGTC